ATACCAGCGGTAGCGTAGCTACTGGCAGGGCCTCCCTTGCTGGACAGGTCAAAGGGTAGGCATCAGACAAAGAGAGACACCAAAAACCAAAAACTGATGCCGGAAGCAGCATCATCAGCAGCGACTTGAAGCACAGAGCAAATGATGCTCGAGATGGTTCAAGTTCGTATAGCAACAGGCATGACCAGAGTGGTTTGAATGGCTGCTGTACTGCGATGTGGAAAGCAAATGGAAAAACTACCACATTATCACTTTTCCTGGATAGTCTCTTTCCAAAAACAGAGATACCATGTATGCGAGATGTTTCCTCTGGAGACAAAACAATCCGGAGGTAAACTACTCCCCCAATCGGATCTCTGGGGGGGAGTGTTTCTAGAGGAAATGTCATGCAGGCGTTACAACAAGAAAAAGTGCGAAGATCAGAAGGAACATCACGGCTACAAGATTGGAACATGGAATGTAAGGACCTTGAATCAAGCAGGCAAATTGGAGAATTTCAAAACGGAAATGCAGAAGAATGAGGTGTCTGTTTTAGGTGTCAGCGAAGTGCGGTGGAAAGGACAAGGCGAATTAAGAAGTGGTGATTATACAGTGTATTATTCCAGAGGTGAACAGGCTGAAAAAGGTGTGGCAATAGTGGTGCATAAAAGTGTAGTGAGGAGTGTTGTTAAGAAGATTGTTTGTAATGACAGAATTATTGCTCTGAAGTATGTTATATTTTAGCGTCCTGTTGCACTGATTTAAGTTCATGAAGTTAAAGGCGGAACCGGTAGATCTACTGATTATGCAAGTGTACATGTCAACATCAGAGTATGAAGATGAAGAAGTAGAAAAAGTGTATGACACAGGTGAAGAAATTCTTCAGGAAGATGGAAGCGGTGACACAAACAGCATCATATTGGGAGACTGGAATAACATCGTTGGAGATGAACCAGATCAGAATATTGTTGGATCACATGGACTAGGAAGACGGAATCACAGAGGTCAAATGCTTATTGACTTTTGTGAACGAAATCGACTGATTGTCACCAACACTTGGTTCAAGAAGCCAAAGAGAAGAATTTACACATGGAAGGCACCTGGGGATTGGAAGAGGCATCAGCTGGACTACATCCTTGTGAAACATCGATTCAGAAACAGTGTGAAGGATGTGAAGACGCTTCCTGGGGCAGACATTGACTCTGACCACAACTTGCTGGTTGCCAAGTTCCGAACCAGGTTGAAGAAAATTATAGGATTTCGAAAGCGCAGACCCAGAAGGGATTTGGAGAAGCTATATGCTCAAAGACAAAGCTTGCAGGAGACCCTAGAAGAGAAACTCGGTGCAATTGAAGGTGAAAGCGGAAATGCTGAAGTGCAGTGGAACAATATAAAAGAATGCATGTTAGATACTATCAGTGATTTGGTAGGTAAAGTTGAGAAGATAGCAAGAAAACCATGGGTTACACAGGAGATGATGAGTAAAATGGAGGAGCGAAGGAAATGGAAGAATGTCAACAATGAAGAAGGCAGGAGGAAATACAGGAGACTGAGGAATGAATTGAAAAGAGCCACGGACAGGGCCAAAAAGGAATATCTTGAGAAGATATGTAATGAGATTATGGAATTTCAAAGAACAGGCCGTTATGATTTGATGTACATGAAGACAAAAGAACTAGGATGGAAAGAGAATCATGGGATTCAAAATGTTGGCATCGAAGACTCCCAGGGGAATAGAATAGTAGATCAGAGGCAAGTGCTGAAAATTTGGGAAAATTATATTTCAGAACTATATGATCGACCTAATCGGCCAGAAACCTTAGAAGTTGAACCGGAAGAAGAAGTAGATACAGACGAGAAAGGACCATATATTTTACAAAGTGAGGTGGAAAAAGCTATCAAGGAAATGAGGAAGGGAAAGGCTACAGGAGATGATGATGTACCTGGAGATGTGCTCAAGTTACTGGGAGAAGGTGGTTTGAAAACACTGACAAAACTAATGAACATCATATATGAAAGTGGAGAGTGGCTCAAGGACTTTACAGAATTTACAATGATTGCCTTAAAGAAAAAGACAAAAGCTACAAAATGCAGCGACCATCGCACAATAAGTCTTATTGCACATACAGCAAAGATAATAGCAAAGATACTTAAAAGAAGAATTGAAAGGAAAATAGAGGATGTACTTGGAGAAGATCAGTTTGGATTTAGAAGAGGAAAAGGAACCAGGGATGCAATTGGGATGATGAGAATTATAGCGGAACGAACTTTGGAGATAGATGAACTGTGTGTTTGCTTTGTGGGGTTCTCTTGTCAACGTGTGTATTCTTGTCACTACTCCTATGACAACCCACTTCTTCGGAACAGTTTGTTGGCCCTGAAAAGGACTGTGGCTGCTGAGATGATTGACCGGTGAGG